AGAGGTGCCTGTGTGAGGTGACTGGCTCTGAGGGTCAGGCCAGGCAGCTGCCATGATCGTTTACCCTTTCTCATGAGTGTTTTTCTTCTACATCCCTGCTGCTTCTCTCCTGAGGCCAGTGCTCTTTGTTCCTCTGATTTGGAAACACATGACATTTGAGAGAACCCAGGAACCAACAGGGTTTTTGGAGGCAGCCTCCAAAGACACATAAAGGGCCCTGTGGAGTTGAGGAAGACTACAGGACTCAGGCCACAGCCTCCTAGGAAGGGTTTCCCAGGTTCAGGACAGGAAGCAGCCAACCCACCCCTCCTGTAAGATGTTGCTCAAAGACCAGAGTTCTTGCAGGAAAGGAAACTCTTGGTGCCCTTGACACCACAGCCACCCCAGCCCACCTGGCTGCAGAGAGCACCAGGAACCTCTGCAGGTCTGGAGACCTGAGGTCTAGTCGAGCTCCTGTGTGCGGGGAGGGCAGAGGCCTTGCTTTCCTGTGGTCACGTTCCAGTCAGCTCCTCAAACCAGGTCTTTAGGGAGGCTTCCGAAGATGACCCTCTGTGCAGGGCAGATCCTCCATCTTGGTCCTCCTCCGCTGCTAGGCGCTTTCCCCGTGGCTCAGGGCTGCCTTCACTTCTTAGCCACTAGCCAAGGACTCTGGCCCTTGAGGAGGCATAGAGAGGGGGATATTTGAGGAGGAGCCTGGCTGAGCACTGGCATATTTTATGGGTGCCTTCTAGAGCCACAGATCTCCCCAGCCCAGCCACCAGCTCCTCACAGCTGGGATGGGCCCTCTCTGCCTCTCTCTTCTGCTTCAATCTCACGGGCGTTTTTTGACTTAAGAACTGAGAGGCATCAGGCTCACGCTCATTCGAAGATTCTGCCACAAAAATGAACCAAGGTGGATCGGACCACCTTCAGGAAGCTACTAGCTCCTCCCTCTCTGCTTTGAAAATCCTTGCTAAAGACATCAGCCTCTCCTTCCTGACCACACTGGCACCTGGTGTCCTCTGTTCTCAGGAGCCAAGAGCCCTGATTAGCTGTGACCCTCAGTGAGTATTCAGCACATGTCCTTGCCTTGATGACTATGTTTAACTCCTGGAGAATGGGTCTGTGCCTTCCACAGCGGCCCCTCCCTTCCAGAGTTAGGAACACACACATGCTGCAAGCTTGCAAAGCCAGCTTCATGCAAGATGCTATTGCAGTCAAAAGACCCCAGGCAGTGTGTGGGGGGCACAGCATGCCCCAGTCATCCTGGTAGCTGCCCTGGAAGTGGAGCCAGAGCGCTTCAGGCTGTTAGAGATGACAGGGCCTAACTTCCTCACTTGAAGCTTGGACATACCGTGGCCTAGAACTTCCTAAGACCAGTCAGTGAATGCTAGAGAAAAGGGCCAGAAGCCCAGTCTGTGGACCAGTCGATCTCGGTCATATCCCATTCTGTCAGGACATTGGAAATGTGGTAAACAGGATGAGTCAGAGATGGGGGTCAGGTGGGCATGTGAGAAGGGGCTAGCCATTCCTTGACTAACATGTGGCTTCTTTCAGCCTTCTGCTCAAGTCGCCAGTCATGGGGAGAGTCATTATCCCAGTCTTTGTTAATCTGCTTACATGGCGCCACACACCAGTGGTTCTCAACCTGTGGGTCATGACCCCTTTGTGGGCTGTATAACAGATCTTTACATTACAATTCATAACTAGCAAAATTACAGTTATGAGTAGCAATGAGAATAATTTTATGGTTGGGGGTTCAGCACAACATACATTCAAGGGTCACAGTATTAGGAAGGCTGAGGACCACTGACATAGATGATGCTGGGTTATATGTCCACTGTGGCGGAGCATTGAGCAAAAGCACTGGGCAGGCAGAAGCTGGAGCTGCCCTTTAGCCCCAAGAATAGAGTATCTCGAGCACTGCTTTTTGCTTGTCTGTTTATTTATTTATTGGGCAGGGTCTCATATCATCTAGGCTATTCTCCGACTCACCACGTGGCTGAAGATGAGCCTGAATTTCTGAGTTCCTTTCCTGCCTCCACCCTCCCAAGTGCCAGGATTCCAGTTGTGCACCAACCAGATTGGTGTAGACGGTTGTAGGGCTGGGCCCCAGGGTGTTGCACATACTCGGCAAATGCTCTACAGCTGAGCTAACCCCCCAGGCCCAGAATCTCGCCTTCCTCACGGCACCTGCACCTGCCCTTCTCCTGATGGTGCTCATCTTCGGGGAGTCAGGGCTGCTGCCTGGTGCCCTACGAACCTGCGCTCACTGCGCTCAACCCAGTTAAGATCCAAGTGCAGAACGTAGGGTGAGGGAGGGGGCTGAGATCAGGGCTCAGGTGCAGCTTGATGCCCTGTGTGAGATTAGGGGGTTCCTGGCTGAGGGGTACAGGGGCACACAAGGACGTGGGAAGACAGTGTGCTTATGCATACAGGACCGTGACCCACTGGCCAGGAAGGAGGGGACTCCACAGCTAGGCTAGAATGGCATGTGGGTCCCCACCTTAGGCACAGTGACATTCTTGTTTCCTGCCACTGTTGTTTCCTTCACTCAGATTTCTCTCTGACTCTATGCGGTGCTGGGGATGGAAGCCTGGGTCTCTCAAGTGCTGGGCAAGTGTCCTACCATTGAGATACAGCCCTGGCTCTACTCTTCTTACACACAGTTACACTTTTTGTCTTGTTTGTTCTTTTGTTTTGAGATAGAGACTGTAACCCATGCTGGCCTCTGATTCTTTATCTCTATACAGCCTAGTGATGTGATGAATGCCACAGTAGCCTTTCTGTATCCCGGTGGGTGACTGGAATTCTCTTGGTGTTGTTAAGTGGGTGAAAAGCACAGGCTGAAACAGGAGGTTGCCCGCTGTCCCCAGAGGACTGACTTGATGTCGGTCTTGGGTGGTAATGGGGGTAGTGTTCCTGTGTGGGTTCATTCTGACTCTGATGACGTCATCACTGAACTGTGACTACGTTCAGAACCTGGTGGCACCCTGAGTTCCCGGATCCTCACTCAGGAGTAGGGAAGTTGGCACTGGAGTCAGGTAACTCCCAAGTCAGGGTGAGGGCCAGTTTCTGTAGGCACAATCTTAGACAGGCTGTGTGACTTTGGAGGGCCGGGCACATCTGCCTATGTGGATTCCTTCCTCCATAAAAATGTGGAACATTCTATTTTGCAGCTGCTGGTAGAAAGGCATTTTGCAGTTGCTGGCTGGAGTCCCTGTTACATTTCACTTCTGAGAGTAAAGAGTGTAATTAAAATGTGTTCGGAGACCCTGCCACTGGGTCATATGTGAAGATGACAGGGTGGGGTCATGGGGCCATCCTTGAGAGGGTTCATCAGAGCAGCTGGAGGCTTGGGCCTGGGTGGCTCCACACTAATTCTCCATGAGGAGGGGACAGAGAAATGCTACTGTGTCCACTGGGATTTGCTCTAGATCAGCAGCCAAGGTTTCTTTCTTTCTTTTCTTTCAAAACAGGGCTTTACTATGTAGCCCAAGATGGCCCCAAATTTGCCTTCTGCTTCAGCCTCTTGACAGCTTTATTTTTTTTGTGCGTGTTATGTGTATGTATCTGTGTGTATATGTATGTGTGTTATATGTGTGTGTGTTTGAATGTGTGTATATGTATGGGTTTGTATGTGTCTATGTGATGTATGTACATATATGTGTATGTGTATATGTGTGTGTGGACACACGTGTTGCACTAGAAGACAGCCTCAGGCACTGATCCTCAGGATCCACCCACCTCGTTCTTTTGAGTCAGGGTCTCTCACTAGCCTGAGGCTTTTTGATTAGGCTGGCTGGCTGGCTGGCTAGGGGATCTACGTGCTGAGCACTGGGATTCCAAGCAGGTACCCCTCCCTGCACCTAACCTTTTTACATGGGTTCCGAGGACTGAGTCAGGCCCTCAGGCTTGTGCAGCACACACATTACTGACTGATCCGTCTTTCAGCCCAACAACTCCGTTTCTTTAAAAATACTTCAATATTCTCATTTATTTGTATGTATGCTTGTACGTATGGAGACTACATTTGTGCTTGGTTTCCACAGTGGTCAGAGGAGGCATCAAATCTCCTGGAACTTGAGTTACAGATGGTTGCACATTGTGTGGGTGCTGGGAACCAAACCATGATCCTTTGCAAGAGTGCCAAGTGAGCTAAGCACTGGGCCATCCTTTCAGCCCTCTCCCCCAACTCTATTTCCCACAAAGTAAAACAACTCGAGCTTGTTGACTGTGGTTGGGGGTGGGGTGAGGTGATTCTTCTTTCCTGGAGTAGGACAGCAGAGGAGGCAGAGCCCCCTCCTTCAGCTAGCTGTGCTTGGACCTGCAGATTTCTTTAAAGTCAACAACATGCTCTGCAGTAGCCCTTACTAGTGGTAATGATTCAAACAAGGGCACAGAAGTTGGAATGAGAAATGTCCTCCAGAGGCTAGAACCCTTAGTCTCCAGTTGGTGCGGCTGTTCCGAGAGGTTATAGAACATTTAGGAACCGTGCTGAGGGAAGTCCCTCACTGGAGGCCGACCCTGACTCTGAGGTTTTAAAGCCTGGCCCCACTTCCTGTTCTCCTTCTCTGTTTCCTGTGTGGGGTTGAAATGTGAACTGCCAGCTTCCTGTTCCAATGGCCATGGCTTCCCTGACAAGGAACTGAGAGCCCAAATCAACCCTTTGCTGCTCTAGGTTGCTTCTGGTTATGGTATTTTACCACAGCAACAGAAACAGTAAGGTTTCTGTACCAACAGAAGGTAGAGAAGCTAAAACAAATGAGAAAAAACTCTACCCAAACCCTGAAGCAACAAAATCCCCCTTGCAGCCCCCTGGGTCCCCATATTGCTGCACCCTCAGTGCTCAAGTGATGAATTCGGGCTATGACATAAGGACCGAGTCACCATCCTCCTTTCGTTGAGACTAACATTTCCCAGTATTGCCCCACACTTCTGACTGAGGGCTCTTGCTTCTGAGACTTCCTGCTTACACAAGACAGAATGGATTTCATTTAGAGATTAATCAGGATCATGAATTGTCACATTTCACTTTTTTAATAATGAAAGTCAGTTAAAGTTTAAAATATTGTTAGACACATCTAGTCTGGCAAGCATCATGGACCTCCACATTTTTGTGAATTCACAAGTAAGCTTGCAGCACCTCTGTGCTGGCGAGCCCCCCCCCCCCCCTTGGCACCGGAACACAATAATTTATTAAGCTGTGGTATTTAATAAGTGTGCACAAATATCATGCAACATTAGGAGCAGACTCACAGACAGAAAGTGTATTAGAAACAGATTTATACAAAAATGTCTTGTAAACAAAAGGGAAAGGGTTATTTTCTGTACAAAATATGCAGGCTTTCCTCTCTCTCTTAATGATCTGTAAGATGCATCATACTTTGGGCATTTCCAAAAGGTGAAAACTGTATAAAAATAAATATCCTATGTACAAACACACACAGGCCAATCCGAGGTTAGAGGCGTCACTGCAAAACAAAACCAGAACAATGGACAGTTAGTGTCAGGGAACCTGAATGCTGACCCCCCTGGAGGACAGGAGGTGGATTTGTCTTTGGCTCCTCAGAAATTCGGATAGTAAAACGTGGAACACTAACCGGGCTAAAGGGAAGACCCTCCTATTCCCGTGGACTTCAAGACACGCCCACCCCCAGGGGGGAAAACCCGACTTTCACTTTGAAGTTACTCAGTGCTGTGGCCACTAGAGGGCACTCTCTCTATGCTGTCTTGGAAACAGCGCTCTTCACCACCTCTGTCCAGACACCGCTTCTGGTTGTGAACCAGCCAACTAGGGCTTCTTTGATTGCTCCTGCAACATGTTGTAGCTCTGGACAGCAGCTGTGGCCCCCTTGCTAAGCTCAACATGTTCCATGTCCTGCCCACCAGCAACAACCCTGAAGGAGAATCTTTTTTGGGGGGTAGGGGATGGTCTTATTTAGTGGTCCTCTGACAGCTCCTGGATGAGGCTGAGCGTGGTGTAGATTCATGGGGAGGCATCACCCCCAGTGCTGAGCTCTTCTTTTCTTTGGCTCGTGAGCACTTTAGGTCCCCAGGTGTTTAGTCTAGGTCTGATGGATCGCTTGTCTCCCTCCTTTTTCCAGTCCTGGCCATTGCAAGATTTGGGGCACAGGGACGCCGAGTGCCATCTCCTTGTACAACTCTGACTTACAGACACATGACTGAACTGGCTAAGCACAAACTCTGGTGGGGTCTTGAGTCTTACTCTGGGGACATACGGATAACCCTGGACTGCTGTGGGGCTGAGAAGATGCGGAGGGTGAGCTGAGGTGAAGGGAGACTGCGCATGCGTGGGGCTGCCCACCCACTGCAGACTGCTGAGGACAAAGGTAGGCTTCTGCCCTTGTGCCGGGGAGTCCTGTGACTTGGGAGCTGTGGCTGAGAGGGATGGCCTTGGTGCCTAAGGCTGACTGCTTTAAGGATGGCAAGTGATAACGGCAGTGTTCGCCGGTGGTAGCTTGGTCTTCCGGATAGCTGACCCTTCTGGCTGAGTGGGTGCTGAGATGACATACACGCACACCATGCAGGATTTATGCAGGGCCAGGGGTCAGGCCCGGGGTGGTGTGCATGCTAAGCACAATTCCTCTATGTACCTAGCACCTTCCAAAGTTTCTAAGCGCTCTGCAGGTGTGTGCAGTGAGGGGCTGTTTAATGGGTTTTCCCCCTCCCTCGTCAACTGCTGGTGAGGTTGCACCTTTTTTTGACCCAAGTCTTGCTGTCACATCTGCAGAAAAGCAGGCAGGAAACTGCCAGCTTTACGGCACCGTTGGGAAAGAGCTGCACCTTTGACCCTGAGCTGCACGGCTCTCTGGGAATCTTACCTTGTTCCAGCAGCCTTGGACTGGTAAGCCGTCTTCTCCCTGCAAGGAGGCAGAGAATGCTTAGACACTTGAGATGGTTGGCTGAGCAGACAGGTGACAAAGACACAACATTTCTACAGCCTCGCTGGGACATGGCCTACCCACTGTTGTCTGCTTCTGTTCTTGCTCTGGGTCAGAATCTTAGATGAGGGTGAGAAGCATTTAGACGCTACTGTTTTTCCCTTTGGCTAATGCTGAGTATAAGGCCTAGAGGGACCGCTACAGCCTGTTGGATGAGCCAGCACAGATGTCCATGAACAGCATGGGAGCACCATCTTTGCTCTGACTGAGTGGAGTGCTCTTGGCACTTGGACCTCCTGGTCTTCCTCTCCAAGCCTGGTGGGGATGGGATGATGTACTGTGGCCCTCAGCTTGCCTAAACTTGTTTCTCTTCCTCAGCAATGGGAGGTACCATCCAAACAATCCTAGATAATGGTCAGGTGGTGGGAGAGACAGACAGCCTCAGGGCACTGGCAACACGACTTTGATATGTCTTTCTGGCCCACCTCAGACACTTCCCCCAACCTGGAGGGAAATAAAGCATCAGGGTGGGAAGTGGCTGGGCACTGTCTGAGGCAAAGGCTCAGGATGGTGAGCCTGTGTGAGGAACCCTCACAAAACTTCTGGCCTCTGTGGCATACCTAGAGGAAATCCAGTAACCTTCCTGAGCCCAGGGCTGGGGATGGGAGGGGCAGGCAGAACCAGGAGCAGAGTTCTCCGGGTTCTCTGTCTAGGTATAGCCTAAGGACAGCCCCGTCCTAGAACTGCAGCCTCTAGGGTCTCCTCCACCCACCCCAGCAGGGGACCTCCCCATCACCCAGCATGCAGCAGCTATTGTTCCACCCCTGAAGATCCGAGCATCTGCTAAAGTCATGTCAATAGCCCTGTACCCTGGTCCTCCCAGTCCAAAACAAAGAACACGTCATTATTGGAGCAGATGCCATTTTGAATAGTCAAATACTATGCTGCCCCTCTGGGCTTGTGTAAGGACTGTAGGGGTGATGCATTCCAGTTTCATGGTGACCCTCAGTCCCTTTCGCATCCATCGTGCCATGCCAAGTCACTGCCACAGTGTGGCACACTGCACACAAACGCTGGGAAGGAGAGGGGCCTTTGAGGGCCACAGTAGCATTGCCATTGGTCCATAGATGGTGTCAGGGCGCAGTGGAAAAGTAGGCAGAGAGCGGAAGGGTCAAGGTGCCTTTGCAGAACTAAGGGTGTTCAGATGGGGTGGGGGGATGGGAATGTGGGGGTGGAGGGCAACTGTGGTCCAGGAAAGACCCAGTTTTAATTAATGGAAGCGCTTTGGAAGTCATGGTTGAGAAAGGCACCCATGCATGCCACACGCTAAGGATGAGGAGGCAGGCCAGCTGTGTCAACAGGCTTGCTATTCTGTGTGTCTGCTCTGTGCTGGCTCCATTGCACTTACGCTCTAAGACATCTCTGGTCCCCTTCAAGGAACGGTATGATCACCCATACTTTCTAATGCTATTTTTCATCCAAAGAGAATTCCTGAGTGACAGGGTGGAAAGTTGAGGCTGGGAATTCTGTGGTGACAGCGAGGGGAACAGAAGGCCAGCAGGAATGCCTAGACCAGTGTCTGCGGAGTCAAGTGTTTCCCTCTATTTTTTTTTTTAATTTTTAAAATGTTCTATGTTTTTATTTACAATGTATTCACTTTGTATCCCAGCTATAGCCCCTCCCTGTCCCCTTCCACTCCTGCCCTCCCTCCCTCTTCTCCTCCCACGCCACAGAGGAAGACAATGCAGCCTTCCATTTCTTTTACAGTTAGCTGAGAGGGTCATGCAGAAGTTAACACCTGGAGCAAGACTAGGCCTGGGGGAAAGCAGCTCCCAAGTTTCAGCTCCAGGCATCTCAGGGATACTTGGCCAACACCTACCTCCTCCTAACTATATTCTAGACCTTTCCACTTCTCTCTTCATAGTGAGCTTCCTTAAGATGAAGGACAGAGACACCGGGGAGTGCCTTCTGTGTCTTTAGCATCCAACACCTGATCCTGGACCATACTCTAGTTCTGATGATGTCACCCAGGATCCAGTCTGGAAGAATGGACCCTACTGCCACCTTAATGATAAAAGTTCCCTGTCTAGAAGCAAACCCTATTTTCCTTGCCAAACTGTGGGGTAGGGTGGATCTGGGTCCGGGCTGGGGAGGCAGGTGACTGGCAGCTCATTCCTGTGTTTTGCTAGTTCGATTAGCTTGTGTATTGAGGGCTACGTGCACTGGGGTGGAGGGAAAACAATTAGTTCTGAAAACCTGCCCGACTCGTGTGCTTCCCCAGCTTCCAGAATGGTCTCGAAGCCATCAGGCAATGAGGACACGATGTAGCCAGGACTGGCTCTGGGGTGGGCTGGTTGATGTTAAAGGGGTGCTTCAGAAGCTGGAGCAGGGAGAAGCTAAGAAAACACCTGGCCACCTCACATGCAAGGGGTGACAAGGCTGGGAGCCGCTAAAGCTCTAGGAGGCGACTCTTGGTGTCTACAGAGTGAAGAAGCAGTAAGCCGAGCTGGGAGAGTGGAGCATGAGGACTGGGAGGCACACCGGAACACCACACATGTGGGGTAGCCCACACCGGCCACGCAGGCAAGGGAGGGAAGTGCCGTACCAGTGGGCATGGGGCATCCAGTCCGTCCAGCCCTGGTAGCCCCGGCTCCCCTTTCTCTCCTTTAAAACCTCGGTGGCCCTGTTCATAAAATCAACCACGATGATTACTGAGGTCAAAGTCAGCTATCTCCAACTGGGGAGTGAACACGCCGAGTTCACCCTGGCCAGGATGCAGCCCCTCAGGGACTCACTACAAGGGAAGGTGCAGCAATGGAACACAGCCAACCCCTTCCGTACTGAGACCCCTACTTGGCATAACCACAGACACCCCCGGCCTGAGAGAGGCATGGCTTTCAGAGCCTTCCAGTGCTCTGGGGGTCCCTTAAGAAGCCAGATTGGGGCTCTCTTCTGATTTGTGGTCTGCAGCTTTCTGGGTCTTAGCTGGGCTACTGGCGAGTGCATGACATGCCCCTTGTTTGGCCTGGTTCTGCCCAGTACTGCTTCAATGGCCCTCAGGAGACTAACCCTGGGGTCGTGCATCCTGACCGAGTGAGGACTCAAGATGGCCAGAGCTGCAGGCCACAGAGGTGGCCATGAAACAAAGGACGCAAATCTGTGTGCCATAAACACTATACAGGTTTGCAAAGCATGCTGGGGCCAGAGCCTAAGACCTTCTACCCAAACCCTGTGGGTTCTCTCCTTCCACCCATCCATTGTTCTGAATCTTCAAAGGACAGGGACTCAAAGGCAAGGGATTTAGCAGAATGGCTTGCAGCTGTGGCTCTGAGGCCCACCCTCTGCAGGCAGGACTGCCAAGGCACAGACAGCTCGCTGGCATCTGCAGAGCTCCGCCCCTCCTCTAGTGCATTTGCTTCCTTTGTTTCCAACCTGCAGCCTGTGGAAAAAACTCAGAACAATGCAAACAAGAAACGAAAACATACCAGTGGGCAGGGGGCGTCTAGTCCAGGTGCTCCTTGGTCCCCCTTATCCCCTTTAGGCCCTCTAGAGCCTTTCTTCCCCCTCTCCCCCTGTGAGCAATGGTTTAGTCCGAGGTAAGGGGGGAAAAAAACATATCATCAAAACGTTAGGATCATTCACATGTTAAGATCAGAGATAAAAAATGATACATAAAAGGGCAGAGGGAAAAATAGACTTTCCTAATTAAGTTAGGGTTCTGGACACACCCACCTCCTGGCTCTAGGTACCTAAGATTCTGACTGACAGAGAAGGAGGACAGGGGGAGGGAGGAGAGCGATTCCGGAGCAGGGGCATCTCTGAGCTGAAGTGAAAGGAAGACCCCAGTAAGGACAGCGGTGCCCAGTTTTGCTGATGTGAGGCAGGCATGACTACAGCCTGTACACACGAATGCAGGATGGTGTGTGTGTGTGTGTGTGTGTGTGTGTGTGTGTGTGTGTGTGCGTGCGTGTGTGTGTGCGCGCGCACCCTTGCACCTGTGCATTCTCAGCTCGATCCTCCCATATGCTGTATTTCTCTGGTTTATTCTTGCCTCACATCACTATTTAAGATTGTACTGTTGGGCTGTCATTGTGGCCCAGCAGGAAAAGGTGCTTGCCACTTAGCCTGAAGACCCGAGTTCAACTGCATATGGCAGAGAAGAGAAGAGACTCCCACAGTGACTCTTCTGACCTCCCCAGTGCATGGCACACTTTATCCCAGCTAGCTCAGGGAATTCACTTGTTTCTGAAACATCCTCCTCCCAAGTGAACCCTGTTTTGATGTGTTGGGGTTCATCAAAAGAAGGGCTCTGGGACATGTGGAAATGAAGTCAACTGGAAATAAATTTGCAGTTAAATTTTCGTGTGTCTCAGTCCTTTAAAACGCGCCATGTGTGTCCCTAAGTGTCTCCTCAGCCACTCTCCTCTGTGGAAAGCAGGTTATCTCATGCCGGGGGACTTGTTATATTGCTGCTCCATCGTGGCAAGGCCAAAGGCTCAGCTAGTTCTGCCAGTCAACAACTTTTCATCCCTCTGAGCCTCAGGTTTTTTTTTAACCTGTTAAATGGGTGCATCTCATTGGCTTCCCAAATTATTGCATGACTTTGTGTACAAGAAATGCTCACTGGTGGGGTATGGTATTACTCAGTGAGGCAGGATGGCTTCTGCCAACTGTGGTGATTATCTTCTCCTCTTGCCTAGTGTGAGAACAAGTATTCCCTGAGAGGGCCTTGCCCTGTCTGCAGTGTCCCTGAAGTTGTGGTCTGCCATATCTAAATGTCTTAGACAGCAGGGGTGAGACACAGTCCTGAAGTTTCCCCAGATCTTTGAACATGAGCCCAATTTTTCGGATTCCAGAAGCTGTTTATAATTTCTCTGTCTATAATATTTACACATTTCTCTGAACAGCTTTTCAGAATGATGGACGTTGAAGAGGAAATGTATGCATATGCAGTGATATCGCTTGGGTCAAAGACAAGCCCACCAGTGAAAAGGTCTGGGCATAAAGATTCCCTTAGCATGGACAAGACAAGTCGCCAGCTGTTTGGAATGAAAAGACCCACATAAGTGTCTTAGGAGAGTGGCCCTCATCCTCTGCATCATGAGGACAGTTTTCCAGTAAGGAATATGGGCAGGGTTGCCAAAGCGTTGGTTCCAGGTCTCAGAAGATTTGCCCGTAGGTCACAGGGAGCTACCCACACTATAGGGCATCACCCCCACATCAGGTGTTCTGGAAGATTCCAGAGCTAATGCTTTACCTACATGTCCCCTACTGTTCACCCCAGAGTGGGACATACCAGAGGGGGGCAGGCAGTGACCCACAGAGGTCCCTTAAACATTCCTGAAGAATGTGGAAAATTGACTTCAGGAGGCATGAGCCTGAAGGTGGGAGAAGGAAGGGCATGGGGTCTTAGTGGGTACATATGTTCAGGGAAAGGCAGAAGGAACAAAAGAGGCTAGAGAGACTGGAGGAGGAGGGGAAGGAGGGGACGAAAGGACTCAGAAAGCAGGCCATGCACACACACTATGCCTCCCCCATCCCCAGGCATGGATGAGAGGGGAAGCCGGTTCAGCTCGCTTGGACCTTTGCCGCTGGCTAGCTTGCAGGCAGCTCTATGCTATGATAACACATTGTTACAATGTTGTGTGTAACCTTAGATACAAATAACAATATGGCAGCAACCAATCAACCAGTGTCTTGATATATTGCCAGAGTAATGGTATCCTTGCTACTGACCCCCTTTTTGTTGTTTCAACTGAGTCTTCTATAACCAAGACTAGCCTCACACTTGCTGCAGTTGAGGATGATTCTAAACTCCTGACCCTTTTGCCTCCAACTCCCAAATATCAGGATTACAGGCCTGGGGAGCCATGTCTGGCTTTGACCAGTGTTTTTGTTGTAAATATGGCTCCTGGGCCAAGCCCACTGAGCCACTTAGAGACAAGGTGGGGCGTAGGTTGGAGAAGCGTTCCCCTAGGGACAAGAGGAGCAGAGCGCCCTTTCAGTGGTCTTGTGTATACTGAGCCAGCTTCTTGTTTTGGATTTTGAGTCTTTGCCTATCATAACAAGGACCTTCCTCATTCCATGAACAGAGAAGAGGTGCGGGACACGACATGCGACAGGATAATTTTGTGTGTGTGGTGGTGGGGGGCGGTCAGGGAACAACTATAGTGGGAGTCAGTTCTCTCCTAGCACATGAGAATGGAATGCAGCTTATCAGGCTTGGTGGCAGGCGCCTCTGCACGTGAGGCCATGCTACCACCCCAACAGTGTAATTTTAAGGTTGTATCTTGGTTCAAGTAAGATGGAACAAATTTCCAATGGATTCCCCAGGCATGATAAAGGAAGAGTTTACTGAGGGTGAATTCTGAGGGATGTCTGTGGAGTTTTGGAGTTTGGAGTTCCTCCGAAACTCAGGCAAATGGGTAGGGGGCACTAGATATCTCCCGTGTCACCTTCCCATGGGGCAACAAAGACACTTTGAACATTGCCTTAACCTCTGACAGGCCACCTGGATCAAAGTGTCAATATCCTACATCTCCTTCTAGGCCTTTTTAGGGCTGGTGGCTCAGAGGCCTGAACGAGGTGGCGAGCTTTGCAGTGCCTTTTCCCAGCACATTCAGCCTCCCGAGAGCTGAATCTCTTGGGTGAGAAAATAAGTTCTTCCTTGATTTGGAACCTGGCTGTTTGGGACAGTTTGTCTGGTCCTTGTGTGCCTCATTGCTTTCTGAACTTGGCTTTCTTTTTCTTGGCTCTCTGAGGTAAGGTCCCAGGCTGGCCCCAGACAGGCTTAACTTCCCGATCCTTCTGTCCTGTACCTCTCCTGAGATCATAGGAGTGTGATCACAGGAGTGCTCAGATCACAGGCGTGTGGCACCTGCCAAGCTTTGTGCAGTATTAAACTGGAACCCGGAGCTTTAAGCAAGCAAGGCTACCAACTGGGCTACACCCTCAGGCCCTGAATTTGACTCTGATGAAGAGACATATTCTAACTTATATATAGGATTCGGGAAGGCTATCAAAAGAGCAGGAGGGAAAGCGGAGGAGAAAGATTTCCCCCACATTTCCTAGGACCTCCATGGATGATGAGTTAGCATCAGAGACACCGGCCTGGTCCATTTTCTCACCCTCCCCCATCTGTGAAAAGGGTACCTCGCTGGCCCTGCCTTCCAACTACACCACAAGCATTACCTTTATTTCAAGCGACCCAGTGCCTCTAGCCAACGGAAAAAGTCTTAAGAAACAGGCTTGAGAAATGTTAACTGAGTGTAATAAGGAAAGCCGGAACACATTAGAAATGAGTTAGGAAGGTTTGTGTGCCAATGAAGAAATGGAATGACCAGGTTCTGTAGACTCGGAGACCAGCCACACAGCGGAAGTGGGTCAGTTTGTTGTAGTGGATTCCATACACAGACTTGTGGAGACAGTTTGGTAGGGGTGGCTCTGCCTTCTCTCACTTGTTCATAGATTTTAGGAAACACATTGAGCTGCTTTTCTGTGGCTGCCAGTGAGGTGACTTTAGGTGTTTGGAAGTGCCCTGCAAATACTTCTTAAATTGAGGAGAATGGATTTAATTGGGGCAAATACTTCTTAAATTGAGGAGAATGGATTTAATACAAATTCTGACATGTTTTATTCCTGGCGACACTATCAGTGGCCAGAGATTAGCCAGGTTCTGGAATCCACATGCTCTGCCTCTGTCTCACGGGTGGGGGGAACTCAGTTCAGCACATCTCACTGTTCTGGACGCTGGCTCTTCGCCTGTTCTTCCCACTCCTTGAGATGTAAGGTCCCTGAGCTTTACTGCCTGTTAGCGGATGCTTTTAGTCCTCTAGGGCAGTGGGTCTTGACCTCCCTTATGCTTTGTCCCTTTAATATAGTTTCTTATATTGTGCTGACTCCCCAGCTATAGTTATCTTTTTGTTGCTACTTCATAACTGTGATTTTGCTACTGTTAAAAACCATAATGCAAATATCTGTGTTTTCTGATAGTCTTAGGCCCTTGAAAAGATTGCCTGACCCCCAAAGGGGTCGTGACCCACAGGTTGAGAACCGTTGCTCTAGGGTTTATGCACTTCCCACAGATGGGCACTGAAGGAGGTGATGGCCAGCTATAGTTAGATTATTGCTGCTGGGTCCGAACGCCTGAGGCCATGACCAGTATATGGCTATGGTGCTGGGGATACTTAAAGCGTCCTGCTGAAGACTGCAGGAGCCAAGGGGAGGAGGGAGAACTGGAGGGTGCAGTTTCCTCCATCCCCTGCCAAGTCTCCAAGAGAAACAGCAGCTGGGATACTTTTTTTTTTAAAGGCTTGGCTGTCTGTTCTTGGAGCTGGAATGTATTTTCTTGGTCACCAGTGGACTGGAATGCCTGACAAATCTTAGTTTCAGGAGGCAAAGATGAGGTGACGATGGATCTAAAAATATCACTAAGGGGCCAGTTATCAGGGCAACACAAAGAGGGCCGGATAAGGGGCTCCTGTTACTGGAAGGCCACGCTAATCTGCCGGCTGCTGTGGGACTCACTCAGCCTTCTCTGGAAATGAGGAGAAATGCTGGCTTCAACCGCAGGACCGGGCGCCGGGCTCCCGGCATGTACGGCATGGAGCCCCTCAATTTAGGATGATTTATAAGGAAAGACTATTTGTCTTGTTAGGTCAGGAGTCTCCAACTGATCATTCCATCTCATCATGAAGACATTAGTAACCAGATCCCCAGTGCGAGGGCTTAGACTCACCCGGTTCCCTTTGTCCCCGGGTGGTCCGTGTAAACCCTGTGTTAAATCAGAGAAATGAAGACACGTTAATGAGAAAACATGAAAACGGCCAGAAGGTCCTTCCTTTGGGCTCAGAAAACGTCGCTGATGCGTTTCAGTCCAGTGGAGATGGGCTTCATTACTCCCATTTTGCAGAAGGGGAACAAGGAAGCAAATGCATCGAGGAACTTGACCGAGAGGCTCATGGATTTATGAGCAAACACATGGACAAGGTTCTTGGTTTTCTTGCCCTGGAGCCCATCTCCTGGCTGGTAGTTGTGTTCTTCTGGGAATCATTCATGGGGTGAAGGGTGGGCATGGGTACTCTGGGCTGAATATTCCCATGGTCCGCTCACTTCACAGCTTCTTAGACCATCTTTTAAGGTGCAGAGTACTCTAGGGGAAGAAGCATTGAGCCTTGAGTGGTGCAGACATGCTTGTTTAGTCAGTGTGCACATGAAACTCAGGTGGACGGGAAACAAAATCCAGGCTCCTTGACACAGCCGTTTGGCTTTTGTAACAAAGCTACAGGCAAATTCATTGCAGACGGAAAGACAAGCTCATTCCTAAGGCCAGCACCTCCCGTCTCTGCTGTGGGGACTGGGATCTGAGGCTGTCCCCTGGACAGCATGAGTGGAGGCACAGCCACCATGGGACCCTACTGCACAGCACCAGGGCTAACGTGGAAGTTTCCAGACATGTTGCTACACATGTGAGATGGTCCCTGTGATGTGCATCTGTCCCCTGAGATGCCACCCAAGGACTTCTAGCTCATTCCCCAGGTAACTCTGACGGCTTCTCCTTCAGCCTCAGGGATGGGCTACAGGCTCTGGGCTGGGTGTTTTGATCTGGCTTCTAGTTAGGGAGAGATGGATGGAAGGGGAAGCCTTTAGTTCTGGGAGACTCACAGGCAGCCCAGCTGCTCCCATTGGTCCTGTCATCCCTGGGTCTCCTTTGCTTCCCTGAAAGAGAGAAAGATGCCCCGTGAGCCCTCCCTGTTGCAATGACTTCCTTCCACAACCTGCATCAGCTCTCCTGGTTTCCCCAGGGACCAGCGATCTCAGAGAGGCTCTTGATCTCTGTAGAAGCCATCCATTTCCCCACAAGCCTGTCCTGGGATGGTAAAGAGCAGAGGGTGAAGGGGTGGATGGGGAGCTCCAGAGACGCTTCATTGGGGTGGATCAGCGTGGAGCTTGCCAACTGGGATAAGCATCCCGGATGTGTGAGAACCTGGCTGGCTGAGAGGAACAGATCCTTGCCACCTCCAACCTCTTACACACCCATCCTGTGAGGGGTGTGGTTGGACTTCCGATACTGTGTGACTTGGCCACGGCCACTCAACACTAACTGTGGGACCCCTGCCCAATGCCCTGGCTTTCTGATGTCCTCTGGGTACTTTCTAAGTTTTCCCACCCCAACCCTGGCCTCCTGTCCTGTACTGTTTCTCTAAATGAGCATCCCTCAGAGACTGAATGGTGACATGTGTCCAGGCATTGTTGGACAGAGGGAGCTTTCTCATCTCTCCTAAGTGTCTGTCTCCTTATAGCTATGCAGTGGTTTTCTTCTCCTCCAGACTGCTACGAGGGTAACCAGCAGTGATAAACAGAAGAAGGGGACCCTGGGGCTGGGTCCTAGGCACAGGGGATGAACAAGCCTGGACTCATGGTTCACTGAGCACTCACCCTCTCGCCCTTTGGTCCGGCTGGGCCTGGAACTCCAATTGGTCCTGGAGTACCCTGGAGAGGTGAAAGAAAGCAGAGTTAAAGGGCCAGTTGCTTGGAGGAAGCCCTGAGAATCCCACCTAGGCCCTGAAGATGTGCAAAGCCTGAGCCCCGGTTTTCAGGATTGGCAAAGTCAGGCTTATTTAAGGAGGCCATTTGACCGAACCATGATCCATTTTGTATTTAGGGGCCTTGAAGGAGAGTTTTCCTTCCCCCTCCTCAGAGCCAGATTCATGGAATGAAAACCTCTCGAATCACAGCCACGCTTGCCAAGGCTGAAAACTGTAGAACAGTTGCTTGGTTTGCCACCAACAAGCACTGGAGAGGAAGGTGACGCCATCGGGAGTGGGGGCTTAGAGCTGGCACTCCTTGATGTCACAGCTCCACATGCAGCAGGAGGGTCTTCATGCCACAGAGACCGATGCGGAGACACACTCAGAGGCAGGTGTGAGAGGGCCATCCAGCACCCCTCCCCCAACCCACTGCAGACCCCACAAAGCTCCAGGCCTGAGGAACAGGCAAAATAGTCATGAGTTAGTACCCTCCAATGTCAGAACCACACTGGCTTTCAGGGAGTAGGGACAGGTTCTCGCCTAACTTGGGGTCCCAGGGAGCTGGGGGCCACTGCAGTAAGCTGGGGGTTGCAATAGAATCAGCAAGCATTTCTCCCAGGTTCCCATCTGCATGCCAACTAGACCAACTCCTGTTTATTAGCCTATCGGTATTTATGTGTCCCTACGCAGATCAGACTGTAGGGCTGGGCCTAGGAGGATGCTGCCTGGTATCAGACTGTGGCTGGGGAAGGCCAGGCACGAGCATGTGGGAGACAACAGAGCCAGAAGAAGGTCTTGGTGTTCCTCTGTGTATGAGGAGGAAGAGTGTGGATCGCAGTAGTGGCTCACGCAGAGCAGAACTGGGGACTAGCTTTCTGCCTCTGCAACCCACAGACTCCTCAGTACTGAAAGGGTACCACAGACTGACCCAGGCTTCAGTTTCCCCTCTGTAAACCTAGAAGTCAACTAGGGAGCCTGTTCCAAGGCCTCTGGGGATAGAAAAATGTGCAAATGCTGGGCCTGACCCCCAACTACTGGTGAGACAGGCCACTCCTTGGCTCTTCCATATAAGGAGACAGAACTGGCATTTGGTAGGATGTGGCTCTGGTGGGTCACCCGGGCACCACCCTATCTCTGAAAGCTCTAGGCTGTGTCCCACAACTTGCCTGAATGCCTCCTCCTCTGTAAAGGGACCCACCTGGTTTTTTTCTCTCCCACTTGGCGCTCTAGCCAGGTAACAATAGCCTTGACTATGGGGTGACAGATGGTAGAAAACAGCCACTAAGGCATAGCTGGTTGGATACAAGTGGCCAGGCACACAGCCCTGGCATGGCTTCCACATTGGGAAGTCCTGTGCCCTGGTCTCAGAACCAATGCTGGCAACTCGGCAGGGTATTCTCTCCATGTAACATGGAGGGGTGTTTCCTATGGCTCTTGGGGACTTTGTGTTTGCAGAAAAGATAGTGAGACATCTTTTTTGGAATCAGGAGGAGAGGCATAAAAGAGATTACAGGTGTCCCTCGTCTGCTCTCGTACAGACCCCTTGTGTGAGCAGAGTGAAAGGTGTGGTTAAAACATACCACAGGACACTGAGCTGAGACTGGCCTCCAAGCTCCTACATGCTGCTCCCATCCTGACCCTCCATGCTCCCACCCAAAAACTCTGGAAGGGGTGACTACATGTGACCGGGAGGCCCTCACGGGGAGACAGGAGATGGACAGAGTTCACAGCATGACAACAACACAGCGTGAAGGTCACACACAGACACTTGTGTTTGCCAGGGACACATCTTGGCTCAAGCCTCAGGGTAGGGTTCCCAGGCTGGAGCCAGCATCAGCATCACTGTTGCTAGAGTGGCTTCTGCTGCCCCATGCTTGGCACGTCTGGGGTCCCCGAGGGCTCACTCAGCGTGGCCTCTGGAAGGGCAGAGACGGGACTTTCTGTGTCTATGGCAGGATGAAGCATGGTCGTTATCACTGCAGGGGTCGGGAGCGGGGAGCGAACGAGGCCACGGCAGGATAGACAAGAGGTATCATAGGCCAGACAGGGATGGGCAGGGGAGGGACGAGGGAGTAATGACACTCACCGGTGGCCCAGGCCTGCCGTCCAAACCTGAAGCTCCCTGGATCAAGGGCACAGTGTGACCAAAAGAAAGGGAAGGGAGGAGAGGGAGGGAGAAAAAGGAGACAATGGGGAGGGCAGAGGTGAGTAAAGCGGTGACTCTGGACAGACACAAATGCCATAAACACAACGACGGGAGTAAGCTTGGGAGGACAGGGGTGTGTTTACACGCAAACCGACACGAACACGGAGACACCCAGGGCTGTGGCTGGCTGCTGAGCTGGCGTGAACCATGAGGACAAGCACTCTGACCCTCCACAGCTTATGTCCCCTTCTCTCCCTTCACTCCACAGGAACCCAATTTCCCAGGGTGCTTTAGTGCTCCAGGAAGAGGCTACAGAAAGGAATTCCTGGAGGGACATGAGGATACAGAGCTGTGCTTCCTCCCCAGGGCAGGCTACACAGAGGGTATCCTGAGGGTGTGCTATCCCAGCTTCTTTTAGAGGCAGGCCGTTCTGCACATCATAGCCCCAGGAGCAAGTTTAGAAATTGCTTTGTGTGTGTGTGTGTGTGTGTGTGTGTGTGTGTGTGTGTGTGTGTGCGTGCGCGCACAACTTATGAGATTTGGTTCTCTTCTTCTGCCATGTGGGTTCCAGAAACCAAATTCAGGTTTGTAGACTCAGCAGCAATTACTTTCTCCCACTTAACCCTCTCACTGGCCCCAGCACTGGCTTTTAAGGCCAAGTAGAAGCGGACTTAGTTCTGCTCCGCCTGGGCAGGCGGAGGCAGCACAGCCTGAGCGACGACGATACTGACAACGCCTGACATTTCTCTGGCACTTTACAGCTAGACACAAACTCGGCCCATTCATATGCTTGCAAGCAAGTGTTCCTTTACAGACACAGGTTTTGGAGGCACCTGGTGGGATCACAAGTCTAAAGCTGCAAATCTCTGGCAAATTCAGCCTCGGTGCCCTGTGGCCTCATCACTCCCTACTGACTGATGACACACTGGTGGGAATGGGGCCTTTTGGCTAGTGCCAGGCTCTGAAGTGGTCTTTGGGGCTGACAGCAGGGGACACCGAACCAGTAAGAACAGAGTTCTTGAAAACTGCTTTCGACTGAGACTAAGAAATTAGCCTCCGTCGCGGGGTTAGGGAGGTGAGGGGAGAGAGCAGGAGATAATGAGCACGGAGATCATCCTGGGAAAGGGTACGGGTGGGATGAGGCTGCAGGGCTTTGTACTCAGTGTTAAGACCACCGGTCCAGGGACTGACTTTGACCCCAAGCTAGAGCGGAGGGGCCCAAGTTTGGCTGCACACTAGCGCCGCTCCTGGGGCTCCATGCTGGTCTAGCTGCACAGCTCTCCAAGCGTGAAAACCCTGGGTCAAGCGTGAGAACTCCCAGCGGACTCCACAGCGCAGCACCAATAGCTAAATGGGAGTGGGGAAGCCAGGACAGGCCTGGACATGAGTCTGCTACCTGCCACACAGGGATGCTGACACCCAGCTGCAGCCTAGAGGCGTCCTGGAGCCGAGCAGCCACGGTTTTGCAGATGCAACAATGCAACATCTCTGCCAAGTGCACTTGAAAAGTCTGAGTCAGGGGGCATGGACCAAAGCTCTCAGGCCCTTGGTGAGCCCCTGGCAACACCCTCCCAGAGCTATAAATGCTCATAAGATACAGTAACTGCCTATAAAATGTCAGGTATCCAGCAGAAAGATTCAAACCTACTGGGCTCTTCTCTGTCCAAGGCCAAGGTCACCTGAGCTAAGAGATCGGTCCCCCTAGGAAGGGTCATATGTTCTCCAGGGCGCCACAATCACCGCCACTCCCTACTGCCTCCCCCAAAGTCCTCGTGAACGGCTTTCTGGGAACAGGCTTGCTGTTTCTGTTTTGTTTGTTTCTGTAGGTGTGAGCATGGAGACATTCACACACTCACAGAGGTAAGGGCGGGCACATGCTTGGATATGTAGGTCAGAAGACAGCCTCCAGTGCCATTCCTTAGGCACCTTCCTTCTTTTGTGTGAGACAGAGCCTCTCATGGGCCTGGAACCTCTCTACATAGCCTGGGCTAACTGGTCTGTGAGCTTCTGGGAATCTGTGGTCTCACATTGTGGGGGGATTACAGGTGCACACCACTGCTGCCCAGCTTTTAACCTGGCTTCTAGGGATCTGAACTCAGGCCTCACTCTTGCAAAGCAAGCACTTGACCGAGTCACCGACCTCAGGCCTCCTGTCATATTTTTCAAGCTAAGGAAAGGATTTCTCTGTCCACATGCCTCTACCAGACAGTGTCGGAGAGACAAACACAGAAGGGCTTCTCTGTCACTCATCCAGCACTGTCTTTGTTTATGCCACCCGTTGGGTCGCTGGGTTATTGGCATGGGTACCCCTAACTGAAGCCTCTCACATTCACTGGGCACAATGAAGGTGAACAACAGGTGATCTGTGGTGGAGGGGGGTCAGGAAGGTGCTTCCGTGTGTGCTCAAGTCATTAGAGTCACGGCTTCTGACGTGGGAAAACATCTGCTAAAGCCATTGCTTTTCTGTGGTCTGTCAAGTGAATCAGCTCTTCAGCTCTTCCTACACTTGCTGCACCAGTGAGAGGGAAACAGTCGCTTTGACCTCTGCCGTGTGTCTGCTGTGACTGCACTGGTTTCCCATGGCCCCTCCGCTGCACACAGCTACCTGCGGTTAGGTACTGGCTTGGAGCTGGAAACAGAGGAAGGCCCCTGTGGCTTCAACAGAAGAGCAGCCTGCGGTTCAGTCTAGCCTCCAACTTCATCTGTGACCTCAGTAAAATGACAAGATGGTTTGCTTGCCAGAGTCTTTTCTAGCTCCTGAGAAGCAGATTCAGAGAGTGACCCATGAAGAGCTACCAGGCCACTGGGAGGATGGGACAGAGACTCACTCAGCCTGGTCAATATGTCAAGACAAGCAGAAGCCTGGATGCAGGCCTCAGAGGCCGATGGGGGTGTGGGAACTTCTAGCTCTGGAAGGCTGAGAAGGCTGGCTGGTGGGGCAGCCTTAGCCTGCTGAGACCACAGAGCCAGCTTTGTACATGACTGGGTGCTGCGACTACTGTGTAGAAGAGAGCTGGGGTCTCCCTTGGGGTTATTCAGGGGAGGTAGAGGAGAGAGTGAGAACAGCCATTGCCATGCCAGCTCAAGTGTTCCACGCTTGCCACCTCAGGGCACACCTTTAAGGCTCTGAGTCAGGCCCCAGCAGACCTTGAGGCTGCTTTTAGGCCTTTCTGGTTCTTTATCAGGTTGTTCCTCAGGTGTGGACCCTACCTCAGTTAGCTTCACATCAGAGTTGCAACACTAAGTGGAGGCTTAGGAAAGATGCTGAGGGCCCGCACCCCTCCCCTCTATGAAAGTGGCAACGTTCAGAACTTGGGATGCACAACTCTTGTCCTCCCTGGTCCCTGCCCAGCAATGAAGCCTGGGGAGGGCTACCTGGGGCAGCTCCTCCCAGGAGACCCATGGCTCTGAGGTACTTACAGGCAATCCCAGAGGCCCCCGGTCTCCTTTTTCTCCCTGGGAGCCCTTTTCTCCTTTGGTGCCATCTAGGCCTGCTTCTCCCTGCAGGAAAGGAAGATGGGAGGTGAAAATGAAGGGCCTGCCACAGACATCCCAGTCTTTTGCCCTGGGGTCTTGGTGGCATGGCGGTCTTGTCATACTTTGGGATGAGGGAAGGGTCTGGAGAGATGGAGCAAAGGGCTTGATCATTTGCAAAGCTAGTCACTTCATATAGTTCAAGAAGTGGATGGGGAATTCCAAAGCAGGCCAGGTGTTGGTGGTGATGTCAGAGGGACTATGGGACCTCATTCTGCCCTGATGGCCTGGCTGTGCCTAACGGGTGGTACCATTTAGGGAGATGGATCAGCTGGCTCTCAGAAGTGTGTCCCACCCCATAGCATCTGTCACATGACCTTTACTTACCTTTGGTCCAGGAACACCTTGGAGGCCCTGCATTTGGGATCAGAACAAGGAGCATTAGAGCCAAGTATGTAGGTGATCGCAGAAAAGCAAGGGTTTGGGATGTTTAGGCTCAGGACTCTGGTCTTGAGAGGCAGAAGGGAATGTGGAGGAGGTTTCAGTTTGGGGCTCCCTGGGGTGGAATCAGAACCATCTGCCCAGCCAGGGGCTGATACAAAATCTCTCTGTGGCTAACTTGGAGTCTCATGAAGGGAAGGAAGTGAAAATGGGGTGAATCGAAGTATGCAGAGCACTTAGTGTGGGACACGGGAACTTTCATTAAATGGTGTCGACTATCAATATTGTTGCTAGTGCAATGAATGACCCGGAATGTAAGGAGCACCGTGGACCATGAAGAGGCACAGACCAACAGCTGCTCATTTGAGGTGTTTGGGACCATCTATTTGCATCCGCCTGAACTGGTTTTAGTGGGACACTTTCTTAAAAAATCACCTTCTTGTAACTGGAAGGAGGAAAGTGCAAAGACAGACATGTAGCTTCCATACCAGTCAACCAGGTAGTGTCCGTGTTCCCTGGTGTGTGCCACTGGGATGGCATGTTTAAGATGGGAGGGAAGAAGGTGAGGAAGGTTTGTGGAAGTGAAAATCCCCCTTCCCAGGGAACTGGGGGGAGAGATAAGGCTGAGCTCAGCGACTGTCAGAGGAGGGGACACTGTAGGTCCAACCACAATGACTGAAATGACCGAGTCCTTGACACTTACCGGAGGTCCTGGAGGACCCTCTGGCCCTGGCAGCCCAGGAACCTAGAAGCCAAAGGAAAGCTTTGTTATGGTCCAGCTAAGGTTCTGGAAGGACAGGATTGCCATGCAGGTCAGGCCAGTACACACCCTAAAGGAGACTTAGGACAAGAACTCAGGGCAAACTGCTGGCCTCACAGTGTTGGCCTGAAAACATTTTCAGAACACCTACTCCTCCAGGTTGCCCTGAGACACTGCTTAGCTTGGCAATGGATTCATGCCATGTTGTACACAGCAAGTACTACCCAGGAAAGCAATAAAAGCTCTGTCCGCTAGCTGGGGCATGCTTTCCAGTCTGCCCAGACTCCATCCCCCGCTGTCTTGAACTCTGGCCTGTTGGCATTCATCTGTCTCCTGGACCTGGTAGACACATGAGTTTGAGATCCTCAACTTAAGGCTGGCTATCTGAAGACAGGGGAAGCTGAGATGTCTTTGAAGAATATTCTTCAAGACTAGCTCTACCCCAGGTTTGTAATATATAGGCCAGGGATCGTTGGTTGTATTTTCTTTGAGGGCTGGTACAGCAAGAGAGATTCAGGCTGGACAGGACTGGACAGGACTGTGACGTTTCTGGTCCATGTGACTCCCTGTAGAGAACACAGTCTTTGTTTTCAGTGAGGGACCATTCACTTTGGCCCAGGGCCATCTCTGCAGAAGGTTAATGAGGCAATTGATGTGGGAAGAGCTGGCCCACTGTGGGCAGCACCATTCCCTAGGCAGGGGCTGCCTGAACAGCATGAGTATAGAAAAGACGCTGAGTAAGTGAGCAAATATTCATGCATTCATTGCCCTCTGTTCTTGACTATGAATGTGACTGTGACTACCTGATTCAAGCTTCCACATCTTGACTTCCCTGCAATCATGGACAATAGCCTGGAATTGTGAGCTAAACTAAACCCTTTCTCCCCAAGGTTTTTTTTTTGGGGGGGGCAGAGTATTTTCACTAGGGCATTTGAACTGAGGTTGTAGCTTAGTGGGAGAACACTGGGCTAACATATGTGAAGGCTCTAGATTTTATCTCCAACAACACACACACTTACCTATTATAAATAAATAATGTATGGATCTGATTGTAAGAGTGCCTGTAGAAATCCACACCCCATTGAGCATGGCAATGCACTTGGGAGGCAGAGGCAGGTGGATCTCTGTTAGTTCAAGGCTAGCCAGGGCCACATAATGAGACTGTGCCTCAAAAAAAAAAAAAAAAAAATAGGAAAACTACTTTCATTTTAATTCATTTTAAACTTCTACATACTCTCTCATGGCCCATTTTCCCTGCACAGCAACTTAAAAATGTTTAAAAGTAATGTACTTATTAGTTTATAAATGAAAGATAATTAAAAGGAAGAAAAATAATACTTTTCTAATTTTTTTTTTTTTGAGACAGGGTTTCTTTGTGTAACAGCTCTGGCTGGCCTGGAACTTGCTCTGTAGACCAAGCTGGCCTTGAGCTCACAAAGATCCGCCTGCCTGTGCCTCCGGAGTGCTGGAATTAGAGGCATGCGCCACCACCGCCATTTCTATCATATTTGAGAGAGATTGCTAATATTTTGCCTGATTTCCTCTCTAGCATTTTGGACATGTCAGCTATAGCTGAATACATTTATGTACTTTCAAGAATATATAAACATAATTTGATTTTCTAGTCTTTTATAGTTTTTGTAAAACTGATTTTATTTTATTTTTGGGTGTCTTCCCCTATGAGCCATCTTCTGTGATGACACACTGGCCCTAGAGCAGGAGAGCAACTGTCTACTTGAACAGGGCCAAGAGCTGTGCTTGACATGAGGAAGGCCTCAACCATGGGCAAAGCTATTACTACTAGCTTATTAGCCTAAGGATTTTAATCCCTTCCTTCTTGCTAGGGACATTGTCTGTTTCCAATTTTGACTTGGAATACTTCTGGAGGGAACATTTGTGTGTTTAATGCTCGTCCAGAATTTGGGATCACTTCTTCAGGGTGCAATCCATTCTTAAATAAGGAACAGCAGTAGTGTACAATTAGGTCTGTTTCACTTGAGTCGGATGGGGCTGGTGACATTAAAGGGTGATGAGCCAGGGGAGCTCGCAGGGGACCATAAAGCTTGGTGGTCTCTTGCTTTGCTCTGGGTGGCTAATGGACTGCCCAGGCCTTCCTGCCAAACATCCTTCGCTCCCATCTCCAAGATCTCTTGCTTCTCCTGTACAAACATGCACAGCACTCTCAACTTCCGCACAGCCTGTTTCCATACTGATTTCTTCTTCCTCACCCTTCTTCTCCCCGTCTGTTACACCTCTCAAAGAATCTTGCCCCTCTGGAAGGCATTCCCTTGAAGCTTTGTAACAAAGTCCTATGTTGCTGTTTAGAACCTGCCCAAATGGCTCAACCTCTGTGGCATGGGCCGGGTGGTTGCACTTTCTTCCTGTGTCCTCTGTAGCCTCAGGGTGGTCTTTGAGTACTGCAGAAACTGGGCAGTTCAGGGCAGCTTTGGGGCTCAGTAACCCTGACAGCTACCCAGTTCCCGGCCTTCCCCAGTCAGAGATGCTAAGCAACTTGGAGAAGAACTGGTATTTCTATTGTGACCCTTGTCAGATCACCCAGAAGGAAGAGCAGGGTCGACTTACCTCTGCTCCCGGGTCACCTTTCTCCCCAGCTTCTCCTTTCTCTCCCTGTGGGTACAAAAACAGTGTGAGAGCTGGTAGCCAGGAGGTTGGCCACAGTCCACCCTCACATCTGTGACAAGCTACAGAGATGAGGCTGCTGGGTAGCTAGCCTGCAGGACAGTGGAGCAAGATGGCAGCACGACAACCATCTTCAAGATTCTAAGACTAGCGGTAGGAGAAGTTGGGACGGAAATGCTGTATTTGGTTCCTGCAGCAGACTAGCTGGCTGCAGGATGGAACTGTGACTTTTTCTCAGTCTTGAAAGAGTGACTATTTTATCACATACATGTGTTGTACATAGGAAATTATAACACACGCTAAGACATGCTGTAGTTATATACACACAGAGACAGTTGTGCACATGGTTCTGTCTTGCTAGTTCTAAACTCGAGAAAGATCCTCTTGCTGACCTTCAAGAAGTGAGCTATTGTGAGGTGAACTGCACACGTGGGGAGGGGCATGTGGTGGGGACCTAGGGGGCTCAAAGCTCATCAACATCTAGCGATTTGGAAGAGGACCACAGGCTCCAGGTAAGAACACAGACGGTCACTGATTTGGCTGTGGCCTTGAGACCCTGGTTGGGGAATCCAACTCTGACAGGGCCTTGTCTCCTGAGCTGCAGGATATACGTAATGATAAAGGTGGGATCTTAGGTGGCTCTTTGTGATGGTTTATGGTACATTGATAGGAAGTGAATATAGCTTGGATCCCACAGCCTCGGGGGTGGGGAAGGGGCTAGCTGGGGAGGCAGAAAAGGCAGAGACCACACCAGGCCCAGAGGCTCAGCTTCTGCCTGAGAAGTAGGTACACTGAGAGGCTGTGAGCCACCTACCTGCCTGACCCTGCTAGGTGTTATTTCAGGGGTCCACTGAGTCACAAATCTGACCTCTGAGGTTCTTTCTACTTTTTGGTGTTTGTGTGGGTATGTGTGGGTATGCTGGAGTGTATTATTGTGTTGTAGGGGGGTATGTTGGTGTGTGTATGTGTGTGTGTTAGTGCACTGGTATGCTGGAGTGTGGTTGTGCTGGTGTGTTGGTGTGTCAGTATGTGGGTGAATGGGTGTGTTGGTGTGCGGGTAGAGACAGAATGTCAACCTCGAGTGTTCCCCGGGTGCCTGCCTTGTTTGCTTGCTCACTCTCCCTGTTTTTCGGGGGTACCTGAGGCTCACTGATTAAGCTAGGCTGGCTGGACTGCACGCTGTGGGACCGGCCTGTCTCTTTTAGTTCTAAGAGGGGAATTTCAAGTCCAAGTCCAGCACTCTTGGGCTAAGAAGCACCTGAATATAGAAGCCACTGCACTGGGGCTAGAACTCTGTTTGGATCCAATCAGGAGTCCAGGCCAGCTGACAGGCCCAGGCTAGTGTAGCCTAGCGTGGTGCCAGGCGCTCTGAGGCTGTTGGCCCCAGTGAGGAGTCCCCTGCTCCTGCACCCTCATCTGCAGCTGCCTGTGGTCACCCTTGACACCCGGTCCTCTCGCCTTACTGTGAATCCCGGGAGCCCGATGGGCCCAGGCAATCCTGTCGCTCCAGGCCTCCCTTCATCACCTGGTTCTCCTTTCTCCCCAGTTGGGCCATCTAGACCCTACAGATCGACAAAGATTTCTGTCAGTGAAGTTCAGAGTCATCACACTGAGCAAACGTGCCCACCTATGGCATGCATACATGCGTGAGTCCCCTTCCTCCAAGGATGAGTGCTCAAGGATGGTGCCATTTCACACAGCACTACTGAGGCTTAGAGAGCATTCCTCAGCTAAGTCAGCAGCCTAGCTGGACTGGGCAAGGGGTCCTTTCCACTCATGCAAACTCTTCTGATGCAGGGCTTCCACATGCTTCAGGAGAGGCAGGCTCACATCCCTGCCTGTCTTTTTCAGCACTCAGTGAGAGATCAAGGAAAGTCATTGCTATCCCCATCTTAAAGATGGGAAACTGAAGCAAGGCTCAATGCTTTCCCAAGGACACAGATGAGGTCGGCACAGGACTCCAGCCTTCATAAAGCAAATGGCATGGCAGTCAGCAGCAAGTGACCCTTGGGTCTCTGAACTTGAGAGCAGTTGGTGGCATGCAGAGCCCATGTCAGAATGGAGGTGGTGCATGCACGGTGCCAGCTGCCCAGACACTCACCGGTGGGCCTGCTTGTCCTGTCTCCCCTTTCTCCCCTGGACTCCCTGGGGGTCCGACCTCTCCCTTCATTCCTGGAGGCCCGTCCTTTCCAGGGGGTCCTTGGGGGCCAGCAGGCCCCATGTCGCCTGGTTTTCCTCGAGGTCCCTATACAAACATCAATAGGAACATTAATTGAAAAAAGAGGAGGAAGAGAGAGCCATCAGAAAAGGCTTGGTGGTCAAGAGACTGAGTTCACTGGCACTGGATGGATGGCGCTGATAAAAATATCCTCAGGCGGGCTCTTTCAGGATACATCTGGAAGCCCTCCTCCCTGTCCTCCTTACTTGCCCTGGCTGGGCTTGCTCCTGAGTCCGCCTGCCCAAGCTCCCAGGGTAAGAACCACTTTTAGAATCCTTGCCGTAGACACGGTTGCTTACCTTGTCTCCATCATGTCCGGGAGGGCCTGGCAGTCCAATCTCCCCCTGCAGCAGTGGTAACAAATAGTTTAGAGCAGAGACACCAATGCTTACCTCCTTGGTACCCTGGCCCCAGAGCTTCTGGAAGGTACACCTTTGGTTGCCTTGGCGTCACAGATCAGGACCCCAAATTCCGGTGGCGACGGGAGCTGAGCATGCTGTGACCCATGTTTTAGCCACAGTCTCACGATGCTATGTCTGAGAGCCCTGAATGTCCCATGGCTCCTGGTCACCTCAGCTGAATCATCCTGTCCTTTCTGCCTAGGAGGAGCTCCTATCCACTTCACAGCAACCTTAGACCCTTTTATATTAGGGGTGGGCTGGGAAAGGGTATGGGAAGATGATGTAGGAAGGAGCAAGAGAGTGAGACTGCCAATTCTGCTGGAAGGGTCTCGAGTGACTCCCTGGAGAAGTATGTCTGGAGGAGGGCAGGCTCTCAGAGGAAGAGGACAGAGGGGGAAACAAAAGGTTTCTTCCAAGAAAAGCAGAGGAAAGAGTGGGTGGAGGTTTAGGATAATGGCAAAGGCACTGAGTGAGGTGGTTGAGAGCTGGAAAGCTGGTTTGGTGGCTGTGACCTGGGGTATGTTCTAGATCCCACTGTATCTGAGTTTTCTGGAGCAGAAGACCGAAGACTAACTACCAGGGAAGAATGGCAGAGCTTGAGTCTAGAAGTAAAGGGACTGGAGTATGTGGTAGGGCTTAAGGTACAGAGAGGAATTACAGGGAAGTGTGGTGGTCCTGGGAAGATAAGGGGGTCACAGAACGTAGGGAGGCCCCGTGATCGTTTGCCCAGAATGCATCTTCCCTTCAGCATCTTAAACACTTCATAGTGACCCGTTGCCCCCAATTCCCTCACATCCCCAGTCCCCACCCTCCATCAGGGCAAGTTTTACCCTTTGGCCTGGAGTCCCTGGAGGTCCAGGTGGGCCTGCTTGTCCAGGAAGGCCAGGAGGCCCCTAGGAAGGAAAGAAAGAGCATTCAAGCAGAAGTGGCTGTCACTAGAGGGCTGTATGTGGGGCTGGTTTACAGGAGTCAGTAAAGGGCACTTTTGGGGGTTTATTTTTTTCAAGATGGGGTTTCTCTGTGTAGCCCTGTCTGTCCTGTACTCACTTTGTAGACCAGGCTGGCCCCAAACTCAGAGATCCGCCTGCCTTTGCCTCCTAGAGTGCTGGAATTATAGGCATGTGCCACCATGCCCGCTGGTCAGTCACTTTCAAACATAGCATTTCCTCAGTTGTGTGTGTGTCTGAATGATAGGGCCTCATACAGTTCAGGCTGGCCCTGAACTCATGATAGAGTTGAGGCTGGTCTTGAACTTCTAATCCTACTGCCCCTACCTCCGTATGTACACCACGATGCCCGATTTAATGCAGTGCTGTAGACTGAAGCCAGGGCTCTGTGCGTGCTGGGTGAAACTTCAACCAACTGAACTACATCCCCAAAGCCTTTGGTGTTTTTTTTCCCCCAAAGTAAATAACATGGGGAGCACTGGTGTGTTTGGGTAGTAGTAAAAGTACAGAGAGAGAATGTGACTTTTCCTGACAGGGGACAGTCAACCATGAAATTATCTGTAACAGGCAAAGTCACAATTTGTCCACATGATGGCACTCGGCAGGGGATGCAACCAGCCCTGACCCAGGCAATGACAGAAATGACTGTCAGGCACATTATGTTGTGAAAAGAAGCCAGAGTGACATGCATACACTGTGATTCCGGTGATCTGGGCTAGGGTGGGTGTGAGATGACTGTCATGGCTTCCGGGGAACTTCTTGTGCCTCCCGGTGGCACCTACACGCCATATACATTGTAAGGGGTACATTTCTCTGTAAGCTATCTCACAGAATATGCTACTTCCAGGAGACTTTTTCTTCGCAAACAGCCACTGTGTGCACGTGTCTGGTGGTGGGGGTGAGTGTCTTGTGGGCGTAGGCGCATGCGTGTATGGAGGCAGAGGATCAGCCTGCTGTCTTCCTTGGTTGCTATGCAACTTGTGTTTGTTTTTGAGAAAGGGTCTTCATTGGCCTGGATTTCACCAAGTAGGCTAAGGTGGCCAGAAAGCCTCAGGGACCCACCTGCCTCCTCCTCCCCAGAGCTGGGAATATGAGGTCATAAGGTCATATCACTGTGTCTGGCTTCAAAAAGAGGAGAGAGAGAGTGTGTGTGTGTGTATTTAGTCACAAATACACATATAGCATGAATGTTGAGGTCAGGAGACGACTTTGAGGAATTGGTTCCCCCGACCCCCATGGTTCTATGGATGAAATCCAGGTCGCCAGTCTTATATAGTGAACACCTTTACCTGCTGAGCCATCTCCCTGGCCTAACACTTGGCTTTTTATATGGGTTCTGGGGATAAAACTTGGGTCCTTGTCCTTATGTTCAAAAGTCCAGCAACCATATTACTGACTGAGCTTATACCCCTACCACTAACGGTCTTTTAAAATTCATATATTTCAATGTTCCCAAATGAAATTCTTGGTTCCAGAACCTTATGGTTTGTACCAATGTCCAGGGATGAGATGTTCCTGGAAATGGAGTTTGTTAGAGACAAGGTCTTGTAGGTGCCTCCAGCTGGCCAGAACTCACTACACAGACCAGTCTGGCCTTGAACTTGGGGTGATCCTCCTGCATCTGCATCCTGAGTGTTAGACTACAGGTGTGAGCCACTTTGTGTGTTGTGCTGCTCTATACAGGGTCCCAATATTAGAGGAAGTGAGACTTGCTCAGATCCAGAACTTTGGGTCCCTTCCCCCTCCACCGTGGAGCTGGAGACAGCTGTCACAACTAAGAATGTTTCCTTCATGCTGGTCACTGGTGGGCACATGTGCAGAACCCAGCATGGAATTCCAGGGTTTTTCCAGACACAGATACTGAGCTTGCATAGAGCGCTGCTACTCATTTCTCAAAGAGCGAGAAAGAGAAATATAATGTGCCCCTGGAAATGCTGTGAATAAAGCCCGGAGTTCATGTTGTGCCCATGTGAACCACTGTGCTGATCACTACTGAAAGCCCTGGCACAGCTCCTGCCCCTGTCCAGGCTTGGTGCTCCCTCTCCCTGGTAGGTTCCGGAAGCCCAGCACACACCTCCAGAGATCAGAACTCTAGACTGTGCTCTTCGTGCCCGGCCCAGTGCCTGAGGGAAACCAGGGAGGAGGGCAACTCACCATCAAGGCCAGTGTCCTGATCTCCTGAAACAAACAACAAAACAGTGCAATCAGCTGGAAAGCGAGTCTCCCGCTACAGTCTCTTCTGCCTTCTGAAGGACGGAGTGTGGAGGCAGACACTCACAGACCAGCCCTGTGGTCCTCAGCCCCATGCCACCCTGCATCTCACAAAAGTTTGCTGCCTGGATTGAGAACGTAAGATGGGGCCTCTCAAAAGCCTGATGCTGTTCCAGGCTATTCCAGGTAGACTAGCCCTGCTTCCTGCGACCTCTCAGCCTCACACACCTTGGCAGTTCAAAGGACCAATTCTTAACCAGGTGTAGTTTTGCCCCAAGGGGAACCCTGGAACTGTCTGGTTCTGAGTAAGGATGGGTGCTACCAGTCTAGTGGGTTGAGATGCATTAAAAATCCTTCAGCACATGGGGCTGCCTCTCCACTCACCACCACCATGATCCAGCAATGAATAACTGTGCCAAGATAGAGGCACCTATTTAAAAGAGGGGGGCTCTTGACCTTGAAACAGGATGAACCCCTGACTGAAAGTTGACATATTTCAGGGAGGAAGCTCTGACCAGGTGAAGGGGCTACCCAGAGCCCTGATAGGTGACACTTCATGGGAACCAGTGTATTCCCAATGGATCTTTGTTTAGCTAGAGCCAAGTATTTACCAGCTACGCTAAGACATCAGGCCATCTGATGCCAAACAATGGGGCCATTTGCTTGGAGGCTCCACAGAGGCTGTCAGGAAGCAGGGGAACCACTCTTCTGGCATTGCAAAGGCGAAGGCTGAGGTCCGCCAGGACCTGCAGATCTCCAGCCTACAGAGGACAGCCCACTCACCTGAAGCGCCTCGTTGATGTTTCCATTGTAATCCACCATCTCCCCCTTGCCGGGTTCACCCTTGGAGCCCTAAAAGGCAGAGGAGTGTTCAGCCAGAGTCTGGGACAGGAGGGGCCTGAGGCCTGTAGCCCACTGTGGTGGTGCCTGTACCTGCCTGGACACAGGGTGGTACAGAGCAGCCAGGGCTGTCTGTCAGGGTGCCTGAGGCTTTGCAGAACAAACCAGCAGCCTGTGCTTGAGCATTTGAGACTGGACAGGCCCAGAGAGGGCTGCGTCTAGTCACCAGAGCCATGCAGACTCCGTCCTAGAGCCAGCACACTCTTCCCTTACCACCCTCCAAGAGCTCAGGGTCAAGTCCCTTCATGCCATAACTCCAGGTGACAGATGAACGTACCTTGGGGCCAGCTGGTCCCTGTTCCCCAGCTGCTCCTGGCTGCCCCTGTTGCATAGTAAGTAAGTGAAATGGACTGATGAGGATGGATGTAAGAACCCCTGATGTCCTCAGTGAGCTACGCTATAAGGGCCATGGCGGAGCCAAGAGGCTCATTCATCTGGGCTGGAGCCAACAGGACACAAACCTCCCTGTTTGTTTCAGTGCAGGCTCTGCCCCCTTCCAGAAGCATCTCTGACGCCCATCCAATACTCTTCTTCCTTTGAGTTTGAGATTCTCGGCGGGGGGAGACAATAGGGGGGCTACTCCCTTTTCAATTAATGATGTTCCTTCTTTTCTGTCCCATGTCTGTCCCTTTGGCCATCTTTCCCCAGTTCCCTATACTGTGACGGGTATCCCGGATCTAGCCCTTTGTGTCTTCTGGTTTCTATGCCACAAGGGTAGCGGAGGTCGTGGCCTGGTGTTCAGTGATTGCAACAGTGAGTCCATGTGGTGCTTTTAGCGACCAATCTCCCCGGGACACAGGGAAGCACAGGGTGAAACCCAGAGGTCAGGAGTGTCAGGGGTGAACAGCTCAAGATCCCTCTAGCTGATGTCCTACAGTGGACCAGGGGCTGGGGGTTGTTCCTACTGGACATAGGACCTAGTGATGTGGAATAGATGGGATGGTAGTGTCAGGCGAAGAAACAGCCACACATCCCGTTTTTCTGGGATAATGTCAACTTAGAAGAAAAACGCAAAGTCAAAGATAGAGGGAACGTGAATGCTTTGTCGGCTCAGATGACCTGCCATGGCCCCTCTGAGGATCTGCTGTCTGTGTCCCTCCCACCTCAGCATTTTGGTTATCGTGTGCCTGTGAAGGAGGCAGGGGCAATCTGGACAGGAGGGAGTTCTCTGTCTGGTTCTGCGGTGTGAGAAGCTACTGCAATGAGTTCAGACTCATTTCTCTGATGAAGTGTCCTATTCTCCAGGAAGGCGTTTCATGCCCATTGTCTCATCAGATGGATCTCTGAGATACAAGTCAATCATAAAAGATGGAATCCAGGAGTCATAGCTGGCTAGCTTGGGACCAGCACTGGGGTTCAGTTGGCTAGGGATGTTTGGCTTTCTGAGCTGTGTTTGAACACCCAAGACCACCCTTACTCGCAGCACCTGACTGTGGGGGACACTACCTTTTCTCCTTGCTGTCCTGGGGGCCCAGCCTGGCCATCAACACCAGCTTCTCCCTGGGAAGAAGAGAGAGGAGGTGAGGACAAGCAGAGCAGCTGGGTTAGCTGGTAGAGAGCCAACGAGTCAGTTGGCAAGACACCCCTACCAGGTCCTGCCTGCTTGGGCAACAGAAGGGGGTATAAAGGCCTTGGGAATGGGGTGGGGTCAGAGATTTCTAGGAGTCCAGGATGGGCTGTGTCGGAAGAAGAATAAAGGCAAAGGCCAACTTGGCACTTCTCTTTGTAGTACTGGAAAATGGACCAGAGTTTGGGAACACAACCAACTCTCCTTCCAATGGTGGCTAGTCATCCTCAAGTTCCCCCTTGAGACTGAAGCTGTGGTGACCTCAAGACCTATGACTCCAGCCCCATGAGGAAGCCAGAGGTGGTGGTTGTGTCGTGGTTGTGTCTGGCAAAGCTGCAGCTCCTTCTGGGTTAGGTTGGAACTGTTCTAGGATGCTGGAAAGGCAGCAACCACACTCGCTTAGCATCTTGCCCTTCCTGTTCTATCTATCTGCCCCTTTGGTGCTCCACATCTCTCTTGACACAGATGCCAGAAAAGACTCACCTTTGGTCCAGGGGGCCCAGGAAGCCCTGGAGGGCCAGGCTCCCCTCTGCCTCCTCCAATGGCATTGCCAGAATCACCTTTTTCTCCCTGGGAATGGAAAACAGAATTACATCACCAGCTTCCCAAGCCAGTTGGTTGACTCCTGTCCAAGAAAGAAGAGCAGCAGGCAGGATGTAGCCCTGAGGCCAGGCCAACTGTAAGGCTTGGTTTCTTCGTCAGCCATGCTGTGGGACCACCATAATATTGGTGATTGAGTCAGGTGGTGGGGGCACAAACCACATTGGGGCCTTGAGCAGTGAGTGTTCTTGGGTGGGTTGAGACTGCAGTGTGACAGGAAGCCTTGCCTGTCCCTTCAGTCTTGGATGTTCAAGAGCCTCTGGCCCTGGCTCTCTTGGGGGGCTCTCTTATGTAGCTCTCCCCAGACATATTGGACCTCAAGCCTTTTAAAAATGACTTGACTTTAAAAAATAACTTTAAGGAACCTCAGCAGATATAACTTAGTTGGTAATGTGCTAGTCTCACAAGCTCAAGGACAAGAGTTTGGATTCCCAGTGACCCTGCCCATCCCCCAAATACAGTGAAAAGCTGGATATGTGGCATGTCTTAATAATCCCAGTGCTTGGGAGGCAGAGGCAGGCAGATCCCTGAGGCTCACAAGCCAACCACCCCATAGAGAAACACAGTCTCAAAAAAAAAAAAAAGGTAGTAGACATCCCTTGAAGAACGACAACCAAGTTTTAATCGCCAGCCTCCGTGTTAACGCACACGTGTGCCCATGCATAGGAGCACACACAGGAACACACACGTGCTTATGAATGCAGATTGCAGATAAATAAAGAATTTAAATGGCTTCAAATGAGCTGACTTTCAGAGCCTGTGGGCAAGCTTTCTAAAACCTACATGAAGAAATCCAAGCCAGGTCTCACAGCTACTGGATTCCACAAACTGGTGCATTCATGGACCATCTGGGCCTATCTTGTGCAACACACAACTCAACCTGGCTGTGCTCCAGCTGTGTCCCCTAGTCTGGCAATGTGCAGGGCCAGGGGGACACCAAGGCTTGCAGAGAGCCCACCGCTGAAAATGGGTACCCACCTACCTTCTGCCCCAGGAGGCCGGAGAGCCCAGGGGAGCCTGTAGCCCCCTTCTCGCCCTACAGAGAAAGGGGACAGGTTAAGAACAGCCTCTTCAGGATGTCTGTGAGGCAGCACCCCTACCCTCTTAGCACGCTGCTCCCCTGGCTCTTGTCTATCAGCCCCTCCTGGGGCCTCTCCACCCTGACTGGTACTTTCCTGAGGCACTTCACATGGGCAATGAGTCACCTCTGTTATCTTGCATGTGAGCCTGGATCTTAGACTCTCAGGATAGAGAGAAAACACTGCCTGCAGTCCACAGCTGAGTCCCCGTCTCCCGGGAGCCCCTGGGAGGGGGAGGAGAGCAGTATGGAAAGCCAGAGCTTGGGAACTCCCCTCTCTGCTCTTCTTCATGACTTTGCCCCAGCACCGGCCCCTGTCTTTTCTGTTGCCCCTCCCCCCTACCTCTAGACAGAACTCGTACATCAGAACATCCTTTTTGAGAAGCTTGGGCCAAACTGTGTGTTCCAGGAGAGTTCGGCGTTGAAGTCCTAACTTTTAGTACTTCAGAAAATGACTTTCTTTTCTTTTTTTTTTTTTTTTTTTTAAAAAAAAAAAAAACAGGGTCATTGAAGGTCAGTTAAGATCAAATGTGAAGGGGATCACGCTGGAGGAGAGAGAACCCAGACTTCCCAGGACATCATAGAACAGGGAAGTCTGGAGACCGGCAGAGAGACACACAGATGCTATGTAAAGATGAAAGCAGGGCAAGGTGATGCTTCTGCAAGCTGAGGGATCATGAAGACTGTCATAAACCCTCAGAATGTGCTCCTCTCCTAGCCCTTTGGGCTTTTGGCCTCTACAAGGGCTGCGAGAGGATGCAAGTTTTTCTGTGCAATACACATGGTCTGTGGATTGCTGGTGCAGAACTCCCTGAGCTGGCTTTGTCTGGTGTTAAGGAACTTGCCTATCTGTCCCCTATGGCATGAATCTGAGTTTTGTAGGGTTACCTGAACCCAAGCTCCATTCTACAGGGGGAGGCAGCCTGCCCCACGACATAGGTGGCTGTGGACAGCTCTTTACTGAGCTAATGACAGAGCCAATCTCACCAAGTTCCCCCATGGTCCACCTTTTAGGATACAGTCCTCCGTTTGCCACCACAGTTTCTGCATGAGTCAGCATGGCTGTCATAACAAAGTACCATTGCTGGGGGCGGGGGCTGAGGTAGCAGAAGTCCAGCCTATGCCAGTATGCCATCTGGGTTCCTGTGCAAGGGAGAAGGGAAGGGCTCTCTGTCTTATAGACGGCTGCCTTCTGTCTGGGCTCACTTGGCAAAGAAGAAGATTATTTCTCTTTTGCTGTTGAGGTCACCGATGATGTCAGATTAGGGCCCCACCCTTGTGACCTCATTTAACCTTTGTCAGCCCCTAACAGCCCTGCTCTCTAGTGCAGAGACCTCAGGATCTGGGCTCGGGATATGACTTTGGGAGGTCATAGTTGAGTCCACTGCAGTGCCCAGTGGCAAATGCACCCCACCAGCAGAGAGTTTGATGCAGGTTGGCATTGGCATTCTTAACTCTGTAGTGAAGAGTGTAGGAATCCGATTCCTACACAGGAGAATATGATTTGGGGGTCCCAGGGCCACAGTATCAACGGTATTTCCATTTGGAGCCATGAAAGATGCCACACCAGTCTTTAGGTGTCGTGTGACTGCTGCTTGTCCTTGGGGCCAGGCTGCCTGGCAAGCTGGCATGAAGACAGATAAGGAGGCAGAGAGAGCCAGGCAGAAGCCTGGTTAAGACGAGCAGGGGTGGGGAAAATGAAGGAAAGCCTGTAAGGACTGCCCCTGGACTTTAGACTGAGCAACTCCAATAGCAAGACCAAAAGGTGCAGGTCCTACTTACAGGCAGGCCTAGCCACAGAGATGACGAGGTAGGGTCCCTGTTCCGATTTCACTGGCAGCCAAGGACTTCTGGAGGGCTTTGTGTCCCCATGTTTGATGGTGCATGCCACATTCTCTTCTTCCACAGCATGCCTACCCAGCACAGCAGCTAGAGGCTGGGGCCCTGTGGCCAATGTCCCCTGAGGCCTTTTGTCCTATCCTCTATTCTGCTCACCTAGCACACCTGGAACCCTGGCTTCCCTGCATCTCTCTTGGGGATAACAGGAGAAAGTCACTGATAAATGGACAGGGTGCTTGGGGCAAGGAGGTGAGGTGCAGTCAGGGTTCCCAGACAGCTGTCCTCGGGCTCCTATCAAACAGGTGTTCAGGGTTATGGTACTGCATACTATATTTAGGATTTCCTGGGGCACATTTAGTATATCCAACCCCCACCTCCCATGTACACACACAGGGCTCACATCAAAGAAACCTGAGTACTGGGGATTGAACTTAAGGCCTCCAGCACGCCAGGTAAGTACACTACCACTGAGCTATACCCTCGGCCCTCTGAGAGAAAGTTGCTAAGTTCAACCACCTTGACTTGAATTTGGGATGTTCCTACCTCAGCCCCTAAGTAGGCAAGATTCTAGGCTTGGGTCATCTAGCCTGGCTCTCTGGAAGTAATTTTCAAGTTAGTTTAATGTTTCTGTCATGCTACATCCCTTATTCTTCTAGATAAGAAGAGACACTTGTAAGTCCAAGGGACAGTGTGTCGTGTGCCCCGTCCCCCAACCCCAGCAGCTGATCAGGAGAGAGGAAGATCCTTGCAGTGTGCTCCTGACCGAAGGACTCAGCCAGTGCCTCCCTGACACACACACACACACACACACACACACACACACACACACACACACA